AGACTAAGAATAAGAATAAGAATAAGAATAAGAATAATAAGAATAAGAATAAGAATAAGAATAAGAATAAGAATAATAAGAATAAGAATAACAATATTAAGAATAAGAATGCGAAAAATAACAAACATAATAAGAATAATAAGAATAAGAATAACAATATTAAGAATAAGAATGCGAAAAATAACAAACATAATAAGAATAATAAGAATGAGACTAACAATATTAAGAATAAGAATGCGAGAAATAACAACCATAATAAGAATAATAAGAATAAGAATAATAACAATAAGAACAAATAAAGATATGTAACAAAAGACTGGTACTAACAAATAAGGATAAGAAACACAACAACAATAAACCAGGTTCAAAAAGACCTTCAGTTCGCCACCTCTCCAGGGTCCTTCCAAGACGCGCACTGCCATATTCTAAGCATCGAGCGGATCCACATCCAAGGTGAGCTTTGTAGCCTCCATGGTGGTTCATTTAAGGCTCCGGGTTTCGACCCGGAGGGATAAAAGCGCAATGCTTTGAGGGCTCAGGGTTTCGGGTTCCCCTATAAGCCACACAACCTTGAACCCTCAAGACTCTGAAATCCCTCAAGCCCCATACCTCCCAAATCCGCCAACAAACCAGACCCAAAACCCGAAGGCCAAAAGCCTAACCCGTAAAGCCTAAACCCTAAACCCTAAACCCAAAACCCCTACGCCCAAAACCGCAGCTGCTGGGCCTTGCCCGGGCCATCGACCTTGATATAGACCCGTAGGCCGGTAGCATCCTGGGAAATGGTTCCAGGTTTACCGCAGGGTTTAGGGTTCAGGGTTTAGGGTTCGGGGTTTAGGATTCAGGGTTCAGGGTTCAGGCTTTAAGGCTTAGGGTTTAGGGTTCAGGGTTTCGGGTTTAGGGTTTCGGGTTTGGGGTTTCGAGTTTCGGGTTTGGTGCTTCGTGCTTAGGAGATTTTAGGGCTAATATAGGGGCCCTGATGATTAGAGTAGGATTTGTGGGTTTTATGGCGAAAAATAGTGGGACCTTAAAAGAAATAGAATAGGGCTTGGGGACGGGTTAAGTGTATTGTAATTGTAACTATAGTAAGGAACCGTAGAGAATCATAGCATTACTTTTTATTCAGGCTTGTATACTAGGGCTATCGGGGTGTATAGTATAAGACTAAAGACGATCAGGGTCTACCTTGAGAACCCAAAACCTACTTTTTTGTAGGGTCCCTATAAATTCCATATTAGGGCTCAAAATAAGAAGCTACAAAAAAGTGGATTTTGGGTTCTTAAGGTAGGGCTTTTGGAGTATTAGGGTGCAGGCTACTAAAGTACTAAAGCTTCAGGGTTAGGGTATCGAAACCCAAGGTTGAGAGAAGCCAGATCTGGAGCCCCACCAAACACCCTAATACAGGGTTTAGGGTTTAGGGTTTTGGGGGTTTGTATGATTCGTACGTATAAGGGACCCCCAAGGAGTAGTACTCCAAGGAGTAGTACTGTCCATTCTTCAGCCTCCTAAACCCTAAACCCTAAACCCTAAACCCTTTCTATATTCAGCTGCAGCTCTCTGCGCCATCACGAAGACCCCCGGAGCCCCCTGGGCCCGAAACACGAAAGGAGCAACTTTGACGGTTTAGGGTTTAGGGTTTAAGGGTTTCGGGTTTAGGGTTTAGGGCGCAGAAAACCCCCGAGCCACAGAGACCCTGCAGAAACAAAAAGGCCGCCTGAAATAGCTTGAAGCAACACCTGCAATCCGTCAAAGACTCTCGCTAGACTTAACCAACAAGCGTAGAACGCCACAGCCCATTAAACCCCAAAGCCCTAAGCCCCAAACTCAAAACCCAAAACCCACAATCCGTAAATCCCAACCTCAAAACCGGAAACCCAAATTCCTCCAACCCGAATTCCGAAACGCAAGTTCCTCAACCAAGCACCCAAAATTCGCATGCAGGGACCTTAGTACTGAGAATAGGGCTTTGGGTCTTACTACAATAGGGTTTAGGGTTTAGGGTTTAGGGTTTTAATAGAGTCATAGTGATGGCTGTGATAACTACAAGCCCCTACAGAACAACATGGATAGTTCTCTAAACTAGTGTCCCTTCTAGGGTCCTTTGATATAAGGGTTCCCGTACTATAGTGGGTACCCAGAAAGGGACCCTAATTTAGAGAACTATCCATATACTTAACTATACCCATAGACCCCATAGTAGTTCCTTTCTGTGGCTTATATTTAGGATCCTATTCGGGGAATCCCAAGAAGGAACTACTATGGGGCCTATACGTACGTATTAGGTGCCTCCGGATTGGGCTCGGGTTCTTCGACCTCATCGGCCTGGAACTGTCAGAGCAGCAAAGTTTAGGGTTTATATATTTTGCAAGAATGCACTGGCAACGTCAAGGATGTTTTGCGCTCGCTTGAGCCAGTCGCGTTACAGCAAAGCTGTGGTCAAGGCGTCTCGCATGTACATGGCATCTGAGTGCCACCTGCAACATACCAGAGATTTCACATCCCTGTCTTTTCTTTGGCCTCAGCTTTGCTGTTGCCCAACTTTACGTAGCTTACCTCTACCGTGCCCTTCAGCATGGCCTTGTCGATCTGGAGGTTGCGCATCTTCTTAGTGAGGCCATCGGCTAGCATGGTGGCGGTGTCTATCCACTTCACGAGGGTGGTAGCGTCGTCTGGAGGCTCGTCGGTGAGTAGGGGATCACCCGTAAGTTCTCCCTTCCGCCGCCAAATCAGCTGCCTCATGGCACTGAGATCAATCGCCAAACGCTTGTCGGCCACTGTGCTTAGTCCGGGTTGACGAAGATGTTGCTCCAGGCTCTTGCAGTCCGTCATCATCACCAACAGGGTGTTGTCCATCGCCTCGATGAGGTTGGGGCTGTGGTAGTCGTGAGTAACGCCCCACAGTAGTGCTCGAAGATGCTCCGCTTCCTCGTAGCCTGAGATCAGGCTCAGTGTCTCCGCTTGGAGAGTGCTTCGGCAGACTCTCTTCAGGACATTGGAGTGGTACTCGATGATGTGTAGGGTTCCCTTGCCGGTATCTAAGAGAGACCGGGACCCCAATGCCAAGATCCGCCCTGACTGGGAGCGACTGCCGAGAGGGATGCCGTTGGCGGAGACGTCGAAGTCCGCGGCGTGCGAGGCATCCGTGATGCTGTAGATCACCTGCTCGGACTCTTTGAAGGCATTGTACTCGTAGAAGAG